TGTGGGTAGGTCTTGTCTTACCAATCTCATCTCCTTCTAAGAACAGGTCTCTTGCCACCTGAACATGGGAGAGAAGGATGTCATTATGTACCTAGACTTCCAAAAGGCTTTTGATCTAATATCCCTTGATATGCTTGTGGAAAAATTGGAAGATTGTGGGCTTAACTGCTCAACAGTTCAGTGAGTGGAAAACTGGCTGCATGGTAGGACCCAGAGAGTTCTCATGAACGGATCTGTGTCATCCTGGCGAGAAGTGGCCAGTGGTGTCCCTTAGGTATCCGTGCTTGGACCAATGCAGCTGGGTGGACTGGAACCAGATGAAGTTCAACACTCAGAAGTGTAAGGTGCTCCATTTGGGGGCAAACAATCCCCAACATACCTACAGGCTCAGCAGCAACGATTTGACTTGCACCACAGCCGAAAGAGACCTAGGAGCAGTGATTGACCATTGCATGAACATGAGCCAGCAGTGTGATGCTGGGGCCAGCAGGGCAAATAACAAGCTGGCATGCATTAACCATTATGGCTCATGCAAAACTAAGGAAGTGGTACTCCCACTGTACTCTGCACTGGTGAGACTGCAGTTGGAGTGCTGTGTCCAATTCTGGGTGCCGCACTTCAGCAAGGATGTGGAAAAACTTGAGAGGGTCCAAAGAAGAGCCACTGGTGTGATCAGAGACTTGCAAGACAAGCCATATGAGGAAAGGCTGAGGGACTTGGGCCTCTTAAGCCTACAGAAGAGAAGGCTGAGAGGGGTTTGGTAGTGGCTTACTGCTACATCAGGGGAGTACATCAAGAACTCGGTGAATAGCTGTTTACCAGGGCACCCCTGGGGAAGACCAGGAGCAATGGATACAAATTCCCGGAAAGCTGCTTTAGGCTTAATTCCAGGAAAAAAATTCCTTCACAGCAGGGTGTCCAGACTGTGGAATAAACTCCCTCCAGTGGTGGTACAGTCACCTACCCTAGAAATCTTCAGAAGGACACTGGACAGTCACCTCATTGGGGTCACTTGACCCCAGTTGTCTTTTCCTGACTAGTGCAGGGGGACTAGACATGATGGGCTACAAGGTCCCTTCCAGCCCCTAACAATCTATGAACTCAATTCTTCAAATCTTGTACTGACAAGGTTTTCATAGAAATCAATGAGAGATTGGCCTGTATAAGGAGTACATCATTGTCACGGGGGCACTCGGGTGCCCCGTGCCTAAGTAGGGATTGGGGCCTCTGCTAATTGCCAGGGCAGCTCAGGTGCTGGTTGCTGGAGCAACCATGTTGGTCAGGTGACCAGAAGGGAGCAGGGCCGGGCCCTTATAAACAGCCCAGGCCAGAGCCTGGCTAGTAGTTCCCTGCTGGCAGCCAGAGGAGCAAGAGCTCTGCAGTGGAGCCGAGCTGCATCGGGCAGACTGATAGAACGAGTAGCTGCATCATGGCAAGGGGGGAGAGAACCCTGACTAGGAGGTCTTACTGGAAGGCCAGGTGGGACCTGGACTTTATGTTATAGCCGGTAGGCTTATTGTTCTGTTACAGCCAGTTGGCTTATGGTTCTGTTTAGTTCGTTGTGTATATTACTGGAGGACCGGGTGAGGCTGTAGGGGTGCGAGGAGGCCTCACAGGAGATCCCCAGTAGTCTGGGGGGGTTTCCTGGGTGCCCTGTTCGGGCACCAAGTAGTGCCGGGGAGACACAGCTGGTGGGCGCCGGTGGGATGCGGTGCCCTCACAGGAGATCCCCAGTAGTCTGGGGGGTTTCCTGGGTGCCCTGTTTGGGCACCGAGTAGTGCCAGGGAGGCACGGCTGGTTGGCGCCGGTGGGACGCAGTGTCCTCACGGGAGCTCCCCAGTAGTCTGGCGGTTCCTGGGTGCCCTGTTTGGGGGCGTAGAGCAGTGCCTGGGAGGCATGGCTGTTTGGCACCGGTGTGGTGCGGTGTGTGGGGTTGAGATGCCAGCCCGAGGGTGGTATTCTGCCCAGTCAGGCAAAGGACCCCGAGAAGGGTGAGGGGGCCAGGCACGGCTGCGTGCCACCTGAGCCCTGAGCGCAGTTGAGCGCGGGACAAGCCCCAGAGAAGTGCGAGGGCGCGGGTGGAGGCCCGAGGCCAGGCTGGCACGTGCAATCTAGAGCTGAAGAAGGGTGAACACACGAGTAGGCCCCAGAGAGGGGCGAGGGCTAGCGAACACAGGGGCGCTAGAGCAAGGGGAGTCGGTTGCGTGACAAGCCCAGGGGTGCCCGAGGAAGGGCGTGGGTTGTGTGACAAGCCCAGGGTGCCAGGCAAGGCACAAGTGACCAGACAACATCTGGAACAGCTGCGAGGCTTGGGGCGTGCTAAAGGGGAGGTAGGAGGCACACATAGCCCATAAGGCTGGGGGTTGCACCAAGTCACCCCATCTGGTACGGGGGGGCGGTATGAGCAGAGCACTGTGTCAAAGGGGATCGTAAGGCAGCCTCCCATATCAAACTATTATTCCAACAAGACATGGCGGGTGAGAATCGAGGGTGCTGGATCGCCCACTTGGCACGGTAGGGGGTGCTAGCGGGACCACGGCCGCTCCTAGGCCCCACTCCGTGACAACCATAACCAAAGGCTGTTTTCAGTGGCTATATGAGAGAGAGAGACACACATACAAGGGGATCATGCTGGTACAAACTGACCTGGTGTCGAGGGCGTCCCACAATGGATGGAAAAACAGCCCTTGGGGCATCATCTCCTGCAAATCCAGCTTTGCAAAGCCCAGAGCCATTGTCACATACAAGAGCAGTGGTTTCATCTTCATCGCACATCGTGCCTCACACTTCTAATCTGTAACAGCAACAATTTAAGGGAGCTGGCTGAGAAGCAGAAGCATGTCTCAATCATTTAAACATTAAATAGCTGCAAAAAAAGACCTTGAAGAATAGCCCCAAGACAGAGACATCTACACTAAGGTTTCAATACAGCAAAGATCAGCACATCATGTGCTGACATTTCAGCACAAGTGGGTCTCTGAAGGAAATGGATTGTTACTTTCATCTCTCACCTCCCAAAGGCAAATCCCTAACCTGATGTGTTCTCTTAAGCATTCTCAAAGAATTCTGTAATATTTTGACATTATTTAAAGAGTAGGTTCAAAAATCAGTCTGGGCATATGTGCTTGTCTCTTCTTTTTTACTTCTATGAGTGTTAAAACCACCTAAGCCAGGGCAGAATTAGTTGTTCTGGATGGTCAATTTTTGCTCTAACTTGGATGGTTAAGACTGAGATCACTATAAATCCATTACAAGGAAATACTGGTAATCCCTTTTAAGGCTGTTATTAGAAAGTGCACTTCACTAGAAACTTGAAGAGGGTATTTCTTACCGGTAATAGCTGTGCAGTCAAACATCATTCTGAGACATTGCTTTGGGAGGATTTTTTAGCATAAACTAGCTCAAACTTGCAAACTAGAATGTCAGAGTTATATGATCAATGATTTCAAACATTATTTATCCTCTTTACAAACATTCCCCTCTTCTATCCATAGTGCAATAACCTATCAGCAATAACTTACTAAAAATAATCCTCACAGAACATTTCAAGGAAGGGTTTGTTGTGTGATTTTAAACTGCAGCTCCTCTCTTACGCTAATTGCTGGCAACAGAAACTATGCTATATTTGTAAATGGAGAATTCCTTATCAAAGTAGCTATTCTGGGAAATGAACTTAGACATGGCTGTTTCAACCAGCCCAAAGCAGTTCAACTCCAGCAAGTTACTTGGGTGAAGCCATGGCCCCACTGTGAGAGATGAAAAACTTCCACTGACTTCCATTGGGCCTAGATGTCACCAAGACTTCTGTTTCAGACACCTGAAGTTCATTTTGGGAGAAGAACTTGGTAGAAAGCATTATATTCTTTCCTTCCTAGAAACCTGCCTCTTTTCTTCAGGTCAAGGTCTTGGCAGTGAGAGGAGCTGAACTGGGAAATCAAAGTCAACCCCAGTTCGCTCTGGGATATCCAGGCAAATACATAGTTGCTCAGTAGTGTTGACTTCCCACCTATGCATCTTATGCATCTTGACTGGGGACTTTGGCATGCATGGACAGAAAAGCCAATGACATCATGACTACTTTTGGAATCAGGTTGCCAGGCAACCTGGAACTTCAATTCACCCAGTTGCTTTGCCCCCTGTGATTTGCTGGCAATAAATGTATCTTGTCTTTTCAACAGACCTCTAAAACATAAAGGGCTTTTCTCCCCCAAAAAGGCTTGAATTCTATAAGTTTCTTAGACTCTCCATCTCTTCAGATTTGTTTTACTAAGCAAGGATGCAATAGAGCCATTTACTAACACAGTGGAAAAAGACAAGAGCTGTAGTGGTTGGAATTCAGAATGCCTCAAATGAATAAGTTAGTCGGACATGGGAGAAATGAACTGGTTTCTTAGAAAGGGCCAATAAGTTAAATTTCTTGAGATCTTTTTCACATAGATGCCATGGAATGTGTCACTCCTAAGACAAAATGCATCAGCTATTTATGCTGACGGAAAGAAGCAATGAGCTTCTTTCTACTTGCCTTTTTTTTTTTTTACTTCTTACTCATTCCTCCAGCCCCTCCGCCCCCAATATATCTGCTTCTTCAGTAAGCAGAAATTTGAAAAGGCGATACTGATAAAACTAAACATGTAATTGATAAAATAGTATATTTGCATGAGATGGGATCATGATGGAAAAGATATGGAATTAAAAATACTGTAAAAACAAGACATTTAAGTTTAACTCATTGATCTGTCTGCACCTAAGAACTTGTTTTTTTTTGTACACTGAACGGAATAATTTGTTTACCCGAGATTGTTAACTATAGGAAACAGATTTGTTTAGGAAATTGCTAATTTCACCAGCTAATAATAGCCAAACATCCAATCCGTTTGATAGGGATCACTGTTGACTTTCAGCTAAAACCCTGGGGGGAAAAGTGAGCGAATCTATTAAGCTTGACAATCCATTTAGTGGGATGGCTCTAATGCTAGCCAGATATTTATTTTGCTCTTACAAGTGTAAGTCCTGAGTGACAGTAGTAGAGATTTTAAAACATGCAGGAGTAGAATTACCTCATGTTTGCACTGGCACATGCAAGATTACACTGAAACATCAGAGCTTGAAACTGGGAAATCCTTTCACAGGTCCAACTATGCCAAAAAACTACCTAAACCATATCAGGCTAATAAGATCAAGTCAAACATACAGGATATGTACATTTAGATTTCCTGTACAATCCCTTAATGTTGTTCCAAATGCCATTCCCATTCACATACATCCCATATATCTTTTGTATGGAAAACTGTAAGATCACGTGCATTTACATTTAAAACAAAATAGAAAAGATGCTTCCAAATCATGGCATTAAAATAGCTTCTCTTCAAGCTACCAAGTTTCAAATTATATCTTCAGTTAAAAAGAATGAATTCCCAGTGATATCAATGACAATTACAATGAAGATAAAAGCAATGACCAAATTTGGACCTTCAGCAGAAAAGATATCCTTTGTTTATCAACTCACAATCATATGGCAAAGTGCCACAATCAACACAGTACATCAATTGCAGAACGCTCCCTTAGGTAGATCCTGCAGACTGCTTCTGTTTTGATGGGTTTACAGGAGCATTACTAACTTCCTTCTTTCCACAGAGGCAGCTATTTTGTTACCTGCCGTCTGGCTAGCCAAACTTGCAAAATGAGAAGGGAAATGTCTTAAGATAAAGTGGACTGCAATCATTTTCATACTTAATCAACTAAAGAAGAATGATCATAAAATGTACACCGGAGAGCCGTTAAGCTACTATGCTGATGGAAAGAAATAGGTTTCTTTCTTGCATTGGGATATCTAAGGAACCAATATGAAAGAAGGGAATGCTCTGATTCTATTTTGAGAGTATTAAGTAATACTTTATGGTTTCTGGAGCTTGCTTTATTAGGAAGCCCATGGTGTGCTTTTACTTTTATACTCTTCATCTTCATTCCCTTCAGTGCACATAATGGTAACCACTTAAAAGAGCATTTCTCAGGTAATTGCCTTCAAGAATTTTATATTTACATCATTAAAACAATAGAGTTTGAAGTTTAAATTCTGCAAACAGTATGTGTTCCTTTGAGACCTTTTAACACAGATAAAAGGAACAAAGACAGGAAATTCTAAGTTAAAACTGATTATTTTATTCTTGAATTTGGCAGAATTAGCCTTAACTGAAGCATGAAGTAATGAGGGAAAAAAGAGCCAGGACATTCATCTTTGTGTTTTGTATTATATCTTCCACATTATTTTGCTTCACATTTGTAATAAAGGGTTGAATCATCAGAAAAGCTATTTTTATATCATTTTAAGCAGCCTTTTCTGATCTGTTATATCTTTGTCATTTTGCACCTGGATAAGTTACACAAGGAAGGGTCTGCAGCCTGATACGCAACAACATCACAAGCAGTGGGCAGCCAGGGCATCAGTCCTGGGCACCCACTTAGAGGGTGTGCACAGATAGCGATTGTAGCTATTGCCTAGCCAGCCAGCTCCACTGCCACAACCAGCCAAGACCCTGCCACAAAAGGCACAGTCCCCTATTAGTTACACCTCTGCTGATACCTACCTTGGAGTCAAATTAGCAAGTGAAGGGTGAGGCTTCTGATCTCTTGCAGAACAGGATACTGCAGAATGCCTTACAAGTAAGTTGTAAATTGAGTGAATATTTTCAGTAATGCTGAACATACATAATGCTTTGTGTAAAAAATCCTCTGCTGTAACCAAAGCAAGCACTAAGTACTTTTAAACCATTTTGGCTTATCTTAATGCCTGATTCAAAGCCTAGTGAGTTCAACAGGGAGTTTCCCTTTGATTTCAGTGGGTTTCTGAATAAGGCCCTAAGCCAGCCGGAATACACTAGGGAAGTTTTACCTCTACTACAGTTGGGTCCTTCATTTTGTAGCAGAATATGTAGCACTCCCTAACTAAATCTTTCCTGAAGGAATGCACAGTTTCAGCATTTGTAAAACAGGACTGCTGTCTTATCTACGCCTAATAGAATTCATGCTTTATTCAAAACTTCAAACATATATTAAGAAGTTTTACAAAACTTTAAATCCTTGCCAAAATCATAGCTGGCCCTCTTGCTGCCTAGGCAGTATTAAATAGTAATGAAATCAGCAGGACTGCCTGTCTGTATTCTTTATATAAAAATGCACAATAATTTTCTTGAGAAGTATTGTCAAATAACTACAAGTGAGAAAATAAATAAAAATACATATTGGGCTCCATTTCCCCTTTTTCATTTTGGTTGCTAATTGCCACAGCAATGTGTGTGCACCATATCTCCCAACTCCAGGATGAATCGGTAAGGTTCTCCTGTCACAACTAACTTTTCTATAATAATACTGTTTCCAAAGTGCTCAGTTCTAATCACCTCATAGTAGTAGTCCCATTGGGACTACTTTTCAGACTGAAGCAAGCAGCAGCTAGCCCAGGGTTTGCAAACACAGACAACTACAGGTATTTTGGGGGAGAAGACTTAAATCAGCAAATGCAACTGAAAAGATCTCAGGGTAATACTTACCCAAGAGACCAGGAGATAGTGAAGATATGTAAAAGCTCCTTGGGATAAGTGAAATGATCTCACCTTCCATTACATTTATATCAGCCTGTGGAATGGAGTTCGCAGAACACCTACATCTGTCGAGCCATTTTTGGAAGCAATTTTTTTCAGCTTCTGCTTATCAAAGTGACAGCTTAAAGGACTGGATAAATTAGGGCAGAATTTCTGACAACTCTGGATTCTTTCCCATTCACTAAGTTGTTCACTACATGATAGTTAATATTAGATTTCTTCCCCTGGAAGGCAAGAAACACTCTCACACACTTTGAAAATGACCAAAATAATTACTAGGTCTGTTGCTGTCATCAAAAAAGCATTTTGCTTCATTACACCGCAAATAACTAAAAATAGCCTAGTACCAGCCACCCATAAGCTGCTACTGGTTACAAAAGGGAAAGTTCTTACCATGTACTGGTGTTTCAACTGTAAATGTTATCTGTTTGTGTGGTACAAAGACAGAAAATAGCCCCCTTATCTTGGTGTGTGGATGAGTCGGTGTCTGAAAATGGGGGCTGAATCAGCAACAAGTCACCCAGCTAAAACAAGCACTAACTGTTTTGCACCTAAAAGCGGGTAATTATCCAGCATGGCAACCACAACAATGGCCAGGAAGTAGCTGGACATTTTTTAAGACCAAGAAAAGGTGACTCAAAAGAGGAAATACATAGCTTTCATCTAAAGAAAATAAATAAAGAACCAGTAAAAGGAATAAGCTTTGCAAGCCAATAGACTGACTTACAGTGGTTACTTCTGTAGCCTGGGTGTACTGGGGTATGTACTCTCTTCTCCAGTTGGGGGGATTGTTAGCTGGCAGGCATGTTGTGGGTGAACTGCAAGTTGCTCACAGTTCCCTCTCTCCCTGTAGAGCCAGGCCAGGACAGTTATGGTACTTAACTATATACAAATGTATTAATATTAACTTATTACAGATTAAATAAAATATAAATTATAAACATATATACACTTATATAATATACAGATATATAATATGTACAATAACTTCTGGGCAAATTCTATATGACCTTATGCCACGGATCTAAATTCAGGTGAGTCACAGATAAGTGATTGGGGAAGGTCCCAACTCCATAACAACAAATCAACTCACAAACCAAGACACTCAAATGAACAAAATATGAGGTGCTGTTTACATAATATCAGATGCGTGGACACTATTCAATACCTCATGTTTAAGGGTGCAGGCACCCCAAAGCCTCCAGCTATCTAGGCCCCCCTGACAATGCTTCCAAGGGGGAAAGGATCCCCAGTGCTCCCAGCCCTCTGTAGGATTGACCATCACATGAATACGAGCTGTCAGTTCAAGGTGGTGGTCAGTAGGGCAAATAACATGCTGGCATGCATCAATCAATGCATCTCATGTGAAACTAAGGAAGTGATAGTCCTACTGTACTCAGCACTGGTGAGACCGCAGTTGGAGTTCTGCATCCAGTTTTGGGCACTGCACTTCAATAAGGATGTGGAAAAGCTTGAGAGGGTCCAGAGAAGAGCCACCCATATGATCAGGGACTTGCAAGGCAAGCCATACAAGGAAAGGCTGAGGGACCTGGGCCTCTTTAGCCTAAAGAAGAGAAGATTGAGAGGGGACTTGGTAGCGGCTTACCTCTATATCAGAGGAGTGCGTCAGGAACTTGGTGAACAACTGTTGACTAGGGCACCCCTGGGGAAGACCAGGACCCATGGATACAAGCTTCTGGAAGGCCGCTTCAGACTTAATACCAGGAAAAACTCCTTCACAGTCAGGATGTCCAGACTGTGGCATAAACTCCCTCCAGAAGTGGTGCAGTCACCTACCCTGGAGGTTTTCAAGAGGAGACTAGACAGTCACCTCACTGGGGTCACCTAACCCCAATTGTCTTTCTGCCTAGAGCCAGGGGGCTGGGCTTAATGATCTGCAAGGTCTCTGCCAGCCCCTAACAATCTATGAATCTATGTCATCTACCTAGACTTTAAGAAGGCTTTTGATACAGTATCTCATCCTGTTCACAGCCTGTCAGTTTATTTATGAGATGTAGATGATGATTACATGGTCAGGTGGGTGGCAAATTGGCTTAGGGGTCGCATCCAGAGAGTGGTGGTGAATGGGTTGATACTGACCTAGAAAGATGTGGGCAGTGGAGTCCCGCAAGGCTTGGTCCTTGGACCGGTGCTATTCAATGTCTTCATCAGTGACTTGGACAAAGGTGTGGAGAGCACCCTGTCCAAGTTCGCGGATGATACCAAATTATGGGGCAAAGTTAACACACCAGAGGGTAGGGAACAAATCCAGGCAGATCTGGACAGGTTGGAAAAATGAGCAGAACAAAATAGGATGCAGTTCAACAAAAACAAGTGCAAAGTGCTGCACCTGGGCAAAAAGAACCACCAACACACTTAAAGGGTGAAGGATGACCTTCTCAGCAGCACAGCAGCAGATAGAGATCTTAGAGTCATATTGACTCCAACAAGAACATGAGTTGTTAATGTAATGAAGTGATCAACAAGGCTAACTGCACTTTATCATGCATTAGCAGATGCATGACGAACAGGTCCAGGGAGGTGATGCTTCCCCTCTATGCAGCACTGGTCAGGCCACAGTTGGAGTACTGCATCCTGTTTTGGGTGCTGCACTTCAAGATAGATAAGGAGAATCGTGAGAGGGTTCAGAGGAGGGTTACTTGTATGGTCAGAGGCCTGCAGGCAAGGCCCTAAGAGGACAGACTGAGGAACCTAGATCTCTTCAGGTTTCTCAAGGGAAGACTAAGAGGTGATCTTGTGGTTGCCTATAAATTCATCAGGGGAGGACAACAGGAAATAGGAGATGCTCTATTTATTAGGGCACCCCCTGGAGTAACTAGGAACAATGGCCACAAATTGATGGAAAACAGATTTAGGTTGGACATTAGGAAGAACTTCTTCACAGTAAGGATTGGCAGAATCTGGAATGGGCTTCCAAGGGAGGTGGTGCTCCCCCCTACCTTGCGGGTCTTGAAGAGGAGCCTGGACGAGCACCTAGCTGGGGTTGTCTGACCCCAGAGCTCTTTCCTGCCCAGGGCAGGGTGTCAGACTCTATTGACCTACTGAGGTCCCTTCTGACCCTAACATCTATGCATCTATAAATCTATGAGCCCAGTCCGCCACACTTTTATTTAAAAAAAAAAAAAAAATCAACATTTACTTGCAGTCATAATTTAGATTATGTAATACTTGCTTCCCCATTCCTTTATTTCATGAAGGAAATAACTATAGCAGCATTTCAGGTGCTAATGCCATTTGTGTCTATGTTGCCTATATCAGTCTCAAGAGTTGACCAAGAACTGTTCTCTATTTGAGTGTTAGCATATGACCTCATAAAAGACTTCAAGTGCTACAAGAATCCTTCAACCAGATGCCAATTCACTTAATTACATGTAATTTATGTTTTAACAATCAGGTTTGTATTTACTACCTATTTGTACCCATTTGACTCTTTCCATTTTCAGATACACCATGGGGTTCTCTTTTCTACTTCCTTTAGAAGTATTTCAATTTTTAATTTGTCACATTAGTCCAATACATAAGAAGGGGTATGTAGCATGTGTCCATCTATACATACCAGAGATTGAGAGTGAATTTCACCATAAGCCTCTGTCAGAATCTCAGGTTCATTATATACAATTCCTTCATCTCCTAGTTACTGTCACTGTTCTTAATTAATCTATTTTTTCAAAAGTCTTCCATCATTCCCTTTTTATTTCATACAGAAAGAAAAAGGCCACCATTTTCAGATTTTTCAGTGACAATATTCTGCCATTTGTATATCTTTGTATCCAGAAAAATCTCAATATTTTGCAAACATTGGGGCTAGATACAGACATTCAAAAAGCCCGAGGCAGAATCGATCTAAGTCGCATGGTTTTCTCTAAGTGGTGTAGTTTAGATCAGTAGAGAACAGAACATAAATTCACCCTTTGTTAGGAGAGGAAAATCTTAGATTGGGTTCCATCATTTTTAACCAGTCTATCTGTGCTGAACTTCTGTTCTGTTACAGGTATAGACAAATTTCCGATCACTCATACCAATGAGTATAACATCTGTACCTGGACCTGTTGTTGCATCTTTCTCCAGTCCTATATGATTAGTTAACTATCTCTCCATTTTACAATTGAGGAAAACATAAATAATGCAAGGAACTGTCCACAGTCACAAACTAAGGGTATGCGCACAGGCATTCATTTGAAGTACTAAGAATTCTTGGAAATTTACAAAACCATGAAAAAGTGATGGGACAAGCACATAACTCTGTCACATGACAGTTTGCCCAGAATGTCACAGAGCTGGAAGACTACATGCTGCTGGCACTATGCAGGCAGGGAAGCAATGTGGAGTGATCCTAGTATGCTTTGCAGATTTTGATTCCCAGAGTCATTCCAGGAACCAAGAAAGGTCCAAAGAACCAGTCCCACCAAATTTAAATACTCAAAAGCATAAATGTTGATGATTTTTAGTATCAATGTTAATAATGAAATACAAATAAGATCTAAATGAACAAACAGTACCGGCATGCCATTTAAGCAAATGATTAAAATTGTAACATGGATATTTATCTAAAGAAATTACAATTTTATTAATACTGTATTTTCTTGCATACAATATGCCCTGGAATAAAATATACACTTTGTTCCTGAAAGGCAGAATGAAGGAAAAAAGGATCTTCCCTTGAAGCAAGTGTGTGAGTAGCAGCAGCTGGAGAACCACACCTGCTCAGTGTTCTGCTCTCTGTGGATCCTTGCAGATTTTACTTTTGCTTTTGCCCATTTAGCAGCAGGAACTGCTCTTACCACATTACTTGCACACTCCAATTTCCACTGTTTTTTCAAGGAAAAGGTGTTGTATGAGGCTAGGGACAGAAATGATATATAAACCAGTATAACTGATCAGAAACCAGTTCAAATTTGTAACATAACAGAAGTTCAGTCCACATAAACCTCTTTCAAAATGGCCAAAATCAGTTTAAGATAAACCTGGATGGATG